AAAAAAAAAAAAAAAAAAAACCCACTGAATTCCTGAAATTGCAAAGAAGAACATACTCCAGACCAATAATTCTCAGACTTCTTTCTGTTTCAACATGCCTGGTAAGTAATAGTAGTTTCACGTGGCAGTAATAAGGGGAGTTTGGGTGGGGTTTTTTGTTTTTTTGAGGGGGAGGTTACTTAAGAAACCTATTCTGAGGCACCAACTAACATCCTCTGAGCTCAAGATGCCAGCTTGGTCAGTCCACTTTACCTGAGTGGTAAGAAGCGTGTTTTATACAAAATGGCTCCCAGTGTCCACTGAACCTCTCGGTCATAGACCAGTTGGGCTGTCTGCAGATTTGGGTAGTCATAGGGAAAGTGGAATCCTTCATGAAGAACTTGGTACATCCAAGCTGACTTAAAACACTGATATCTGTGTGACAAAAAATAATTAATTTTTTTTAAAGAAGGAAAAGAGGGACTTCCCTGGTGGTGCAGTGGTTAAGAATCTGCCTGCCAACGCAGAGGACATGGGTTTGAGCCCTGGTCCGGGAAGATCCCACATGCCGCGGAACAGCTAAGCCTGTGCACCAAAACTACTGAGCCTGTGCTCTAGAGCCTGCAAGCCACAACTACTGAGCCTGTGTGCCACAACTACTGAAGCCCGCACGCCTAGAGCCTGTGCTCCACAATTAGGGAAGCCACCGCAATGAGAAGCCTGCGCACCGCAACGAAGAGTAGCCCCTGCTCGCCGCAACTAGAGAGAGCCCGCACGCAGCAACGAAGACCCAATGCAGCCAAAAATAAAAATAAATAAATTTAAAAAAGAAAAAGAAAAAAAAAGAATTCAAATGCTTTCTGCATATTCCCACTAGATGTCAAAAAGACCTCTTTCCCCGTTTCACCTTCCTCACCTCTAGGTGGAGCCAAATCTGAGCCTCCTTTATGTTAACGCTTACCACAAAAGGGAAGAACACCTCTATGCAATGTAACAACACTATTGTGAGTACATCTTACTTTTCTTTTTCTTTCTTTCTTTTTCTAACAGCCCTTATCTTCAGGGAGAATGCTGAAATATCTACAAATATGATGTTTTGGATTTGCTTCAAAATGACTGAATTGTGGGGTGGGAAAACAGATGAAACAAGAGGGCTGGAAGTTGACAGCTATTAGGAGAGAAGCTGGGTGACAGATATTCAGGAGTTCATTTTACTGTTCTATTTTTGTTTATGTTTAAATTTTTTTTAACTAAAACATTTACAAAATGGGAGGACTGATGAACCAAACTGGCAAAATACTGATATTTGTTGAAGCTGGGTGACAGTTACACGTGGGTTTCTGTTACTGTTCTTTCTACTTTTCTGCATGTTTGATATTTTAATAAAAATTTAAAAATAAAAAGACCACCACTTTTGATTTAAAACCACTTGGAGAGAACACTTTTTGGTAACCACCAGTTTCCCTTGGCTTCACTAAAATAAGCTCACTATTTTGGCCTCTACCCTTCAGAAAATCAAAATCTGAAATAACCAAATTCTCCTTCAACATAAAATCCAACCTGCACTATCACTCGCTCTCTTTCATTCATTGTTCATACACTTTTTTAAAAAATTTAATTTAGTTTTATTTTTTTGGCTGCGTTGCATCTTCATTGCTGTGCACAGCCTTTCTCTAGTTGCAGCGAGCGGGGTCTACTCTTTGTCACGGTGCTTGGGCTTCTCATTGCAGTGGCTTTTCTTGTTGTGGAGCACGGGCTCTAGGCACATAGTCTTCAGTAACTGTAGCACGGGGGCTCAATAGTTGTGATATGCGGGTCCTAGAGTGCATGGGCTTCAGTAGTTGCAGCGTGTGGGCTCAGTAGCTGTGGCGCGCAGGCTCTAGGGTGCGTGGGCTTCAGTAGTTGTGGTGCACGGGCTCAGTAGTTGTGGCTTGCAGGCTCTAGGGTGCAGGCTCAGTAGTTGTGGCACATGGGCTTAGTTGCTCCGTGGCATGTGGGATCTTTCCGGACCAGGGCTTGAACCCACGTCCCCTGCATTGGCAGGCAGATTCTTAACCACTGCACCATGCAAGGAAGTCCCGTTCATACATTTTAAGGCCACATCTAAGGGAGAAAAGGAAGTTACTTACTTGAGTCGATGCTCATCTGCATGTGACGAAAAGAGGCCATTCTTGAATCTCTGAGTGAGTACTGACCAAGCCATGCCACAGTAATCCTGGAACAACCACAGAGAAATGGTGCAACATGAAATGGGAGGCAAACTAACTCCGCCACAGTCATAGCTGTTCCATTTCTAAAGTTACTTGTGGGATACTAGTTGACAAAGGAAAACAGAAATGGCATATTCATTCACCAAACACAGCGCCAGGTCCTGGGCAAGGCAAGTCCCTGAACTCAGGCCACTGAGTGACTTGAGTTACCTGGGAATAGTCCTTTTTATTCCTATTGCCTCCACGTTCACTACGAAGCCTGCCTGACACGGCTCCTGAGCCTCTTAGGCTTCAGAGATGGGTAAGGTTAGGACCAGGAGTAGCAACATCAAAAGCCAAATAGAGCTTCATTCTATCCTATGTAGGCCTGACATGAGTAGGTCAAACAGATGGAACAGAAAATGGTCAAAGATCTATCACTGGGACTTCCCTGGTGGCACAGTGGTTAAGACTCCGCCTGCCAATGCAGGGAACACGGGTTCAAGCCTTGGTCCGGGAAGATCCCACATGCTGTGGAGCAACTAAGCCCGTGCACCACAACTACTGAGCCTGCGTTCTAGACCCCGTGAGCCACAACTACTGAGCCCGTGTGCCACAACTTCTGAAGCCTGCGCGCCTACAGCCTGTGCTCTGCAACAAAAGAAGCCACCGCAATGAGAAGCCTGCTCACCGCAACGAAGAGTAGCCCCCGCTCGCCGCAACTAGAGAAAGCCCGCTTGCAGCAATGAAGACCCAATGCAGCCAAAAATAAAATAAATTTATATTAAAAAAAAAAGATCTATCACTGGCCTGCCTCTGTGTTGTAATTCTCATCAAAGGAATCATTCCTTTTGGTTTGTTCAGTAAACTAACATTTCCTGCATGTCTACTATATGCCAGGTGCTATTCTAGGTGCCAGGGAGATCCAGCAGTGAATAAAACAGACAAAAATTTCGTTCCTTACGAAGCTTACTTTCTAGTGGTGGGGGACAGACAATAACCAAATATACATGCATACATACATACATATACACATACATACACAGAGTGGGTTAGATGACAGAAGTGCTCATGGGAAAAATAAAGCAGGAAAGGGAAATAGGTAATACTGGGGAGGGCTGCAATTTTGTATAGGATGGCCAAGGAAGGTGTCACTGGGATGATAACAGTTGAGTCAAAGTTAAAAAAAAAAAAAAGGGCGAACGAAATCATCTTTTACCTAGGAAAGAAAACATATTAAGCCACTAGCAGTTTGGGCAAGTAATAACCTGAGCCCTTTGATGTTCAAGGGAATAGGATTTGAGGAAGTTTTAAAATGAGAGAAAGATTCAGGCTATGGACACTTAGGGGACGCTGGAAAGAAAAGGGAATATGAGGGTATTCCTAGAGGCAAGGGCAAATACAAACCAGGTTTTCCTCAATATTTCTTAGGGACTGCCTTTAGAGAACAGAATAGTACAGACACTGCAGATATTATTCCTTTTGGAAGCCTTATACCAAGCGAACCTTAGAGAATTCTAAGAAAGCAGAAGGGAAAGAATAAAAAATATAAGAAAGGACAGATCTCCCCATAAATTTTTCTGATAAAAGAGACACATAGGGCTTCCCTTGTGGCGCAGTGGTTGAGAGTCCGACTGCCAATGCAGGGGACATGGGTTTGTGCCCCGGTCCGGGAGGATCCCACGTGTCGCGGAGCGGCTAGGCCCGTGAGCCATGGCAGCTGAGCCTGCTCATCCGGAGCCCGTGCTCCGCAATGGGAGAGGCCACAGCAGTGAGAGGCCTGCGTACCGCAAAAAAAAAAAAAAAAAAAAGAGACAGATATACAAAAATTAAAAAGAGATGAATCCAAATTAAAGCAGACACAGTAGAAAGCTAGCTAAACTTTTACCTGTCCAAATAACTAATGCTTTAAACCTATAAGATGCTTAAGTCCTAAATGTGCTCTAAGTGCATGTTTACTTCTTCTGCAATTTAAATGCAGTATCATTGCTTTTTGCAACATCTTTTTAATATTCTAAGTGACCCTATACCATCCTGGCCTCTTAAAACTCAAGGTAAGAAAATGAAAGTGGACTTGCCCACCTGTGTGACACCATCTCCAAAAGGACATTACACCTAGGAACAACCAGTAAGGGAAAAATACCTGGAGATGACACTTTTGGCCACAAACATTAATTAAGACTATTGGAAAGTTGGAGGAAAAACCATTAACCACCATGACAATATTAGACCTGGGTGATAATTTGGGTAATAGGACACCCGTGGAAACCTAAGCTTAATTAATTAGAAGGCAGTATAGCACAGCAGGTTCCTTAACTTCTCTAAGTCCACCTCCTCATCTGTAAAATGAGGGCTCACAGGGCTCCTGCCAAGAATCCAGTGAGATCATGCATGCAAAGCCCTTCGCACGGCATCTGGTACAAAGTCAGGCGTACAATAAATGGCTGCTGCCAGGATGAGTCACTTTATTATTAATAATTTACCTGAGCAGCCTTGGCAAATGTTGGCCCGTGGTAGCGGCCACCAATGCGTAACACATCCTCTGTACAGTAAAAGAACTCGGAGAAACCGTAGAACTCGCTGTTGTTGAAGTCAATGGGTGACTGGTAGATGCCATTCAGCGAGGCCTGGCTGGTGCTGGAGCGAGCCAACAGGGGGCTCAGCATGGCCCCACAAGCCACCCAGTCCCCTCTTCCTCGGACATGAAGGACCTGGCTGTTCCTTTCCACCACATCTGTAAGTCCCACAGGCAGGCAGGGATCTAGAAATGGATTGTCAGGACTCAGACCTGTCTTCTGGCCCAGCAACCTGTCACAATGACAAAAACCAACAAAACACATCACTACTGCACTCAGCCTCCTCTAAGATGCTTCCCAGATGTCTTGTTATTCTTCTGCATGACACCCCTAAAAACAAGGATGGAGTGTTACCACATAGTTGTGTCACGTGAACATTTAAATTATGCAAATTCAATTTAGAAAAAGAAAGAAATATGGCAGTGATTTTGTTCAACCTTTTAGTCAACATGTATATTTCCCAATGTATAGTGAAATTGGAGATGTGAATCTGCTGTTCTCCCTCTGGCCTTCATTCCCATTTGCCTCTTAAATGTGAAAAGATCTCACCATTCTGAGCGCAATTCTAATGTTTAAAAAAACAACTGGGAGGAGGTGAAGTGGGAAGGGCTTAGGAGTGTCCTGAGGCAGGGACCATGGCAGTGGTGCAGTGGCGATGGGTGGCAAAAGTGACCGAGTACATGCCCAGCTCTGAGGGGGAAGGGAGGGGCAGGTTTTGATTCCCACCATGGCCATCACACAGCTCTGGTTAATTAAAGTCTGTACTTGTCTAGCAACAGTATTCTCATTCCCAAAGAGATTAATATGCAGATCTGGCCAAAGATGGAAATTAAGTAGAGACCAAATAACTTGGCCAACTACAGTTAATTACTCATCAGTTCCTAAGACAAATGTTGAAGAGTGGACTTCCTGGGATGAAGATGCACCCACAAGTGTAGAGACTGAAGGAGGGAATGGGAATGTGGCAACACAACAAAATGCTTTGGAACAAGTGGAACCTATTTTAAAGATGTGACACCACCTATAAGGAAAACTCAGAAAATTATTAAAAAGAGAGGAACATTAAGTTTTAACATCCCAGGAAGCACAGGTTTCTCTATAGATTAGCAGATACACAAGATGAGTAATCAATCTTCTGAACTAGGTAACTTAGATACATGGTAAAAAAAATACCAATGCATGAGAAGATGATGATGCAGCCTCTTCCGAGGCAGCAAAAAACATGATACAGAGATAAAAGAGCAGCAAAACAACAAAGGAAGGAAATGGAAGAGGAAGCACAGTGGCTAAAGTTGGTGTGAAACTTTCATAGTAATTGTTCTTCAGATGCCATAGTGTCAGCAGGAGTGATCTGAACTCCATAACCCAAGGAACATTTGTACAGATTTAAGAGTACTTTCAGAATACAAACATACTGCTTGGTTTTAATGCATTCATCAATCATCCAGATAACAGGATTCTCCCAAAGCACCTTGAACTCTTAGGAGTTTAGACTCAGAAAAACAAAAAAGACTTATGAGACAATATTTTCTTTAACATGCTCCCAATATAAGACAATTGACTACTGTAGAGAAATTATTACAAATGGGATAAACCAGTAGCTCTTCAAGCCACTGTTTCCAGCTAAACAAATGGGGGTAAATAGTTTTATGGTGGAAAAGAACTCTGCTCTCTATTATGCTTTTCTTTAATGTGCATAATGATAAAAATAATTTTAAATGCTAAAACACCCACAACTATTTGTACATTATGGTCTAAACACTTCATCTGGTACACAATGAAGAATCAGTGGTCTGTCCAATGCTGGAGGAAAAAATGTCTCATCTGGACTTAAAGAGAATATTTTAAAGGCTAATTTTAACTACTATTTTAAAGGCTAATTTTGATTAAGATACTTTTAATCTTTTATGCACACTGTGGAACCTTAAGTCCCACGTAAGATGCAACTCCACTGAAATTCAGCAAACATGTCCTGCGCACTTCCATGTATTGATAGCATGAATTTCCAGGAGCTACACTGCACTGCACAATTTAAATTGGTGACTTAATTGATCTCACTTATCCTGTGATACCATGTCTGAAGATGGGCACAGCAAGAGGTCACCACAATAAGCCACTGTACATTTTTGAGTCCTAATAACAAAGATTAGAAGGCACTCTCAAGCAGATCAAGTGGGACTACTAATAGAGGGTCTCTAAAAGATGCTACCCCATTGGCAGGGGTGGTCAGAAAGGAGGAAGCAAGGACGTATCTAGCTAGTAGGATGTAACCATTTTTTCCTAATATCTGCAGCCTGACAACATTCTATTTCAGAATCACAGATCCCATGTCAAACATACTTGTTTTTGTTAAGAGTTTCATTCATCACAAGGTCTTCATAGCGCTGCCGGGCAAAGTTTCCCCCGAACCCCAGAAAGGTTGTTACGTAAACCCTATACACATGTTCAGTGTGTTGCACATCACAGCCCAGGTTGAACTCGGCCAGCAAGATCTTCGCAGCTTCTTCCTGTAATACAATGTAAAGGGAACTTTACTTTTGGTTGACTTCTAGAAAGGTATGACATTGCTAATACACTAGATTTCCTCTGCTATGACTACTCTTTAAAACGTCTTGTAGCATTCTTTCATCCTCACAGCATTATTTTAAACAAAGACATAAAATGACAAGACTACACAAAAAGGAACGAATCAGAGACTAAATAACAAATTAGAGACTAAAATACTTTCTGTAGTTAGATAGAAGGTAGAATCATTACAGATGATGTCATTATCTGGCGTGTACTTTTCTGATTTTCCAATTCTCCAAAATGGGAATGTACTATTTTTATAATCCAAAAAAAAAAAACAAAAAAAAAATCTGGAGACACATAGTTTCTTGAGGCAGAAGCCTGGTGTGTCTCCCTAGTTTCTTGAGGCAGAAGCCTGGTGTGTCTCCCTAGTTTTTTTTGAGGCAGAAGCCTGGTGTGTCTCCCTAGTTTTGTGAGGCAGAAGCCTGGTGTGTCTCCCTAGTTTTTTGAGGCAGAAGCCTGGTGTGTCTGCCTTTGCTATCGTTTTCTACTTCACCCAAAAAAAAAAAAAAAATCCTTTGACAAAAATAAATTTAAGGAATTTGAGAGATCATCATGAGATCTATTCTATGGCTTTTTCTAAAACTATTTAAGATGCCTTAATATGCCCTGTGACAGATCTGAGGATTAGAAAAGTTCAATTTTATTGTACCTCTGTTTTTGTTTTTGTTTTTGACTTCAGGTACAGAGGTTGAATTAGTCATATTCCTCAGTTCATGGCACACTATCATGGCAAAGCCCCACTTTTGTTTTATTTATTTACTTCCTTTTATCCTCACACTCACTGCCATTCTGGCTCCTGCCACAGGCAATCATTCTAATGTGCTTAATATGTAGTATTTGTTTGTATGTATTGTTGCAAAATGGGATTGTTTTGAATGTATTTATTTTAAATTTCTGAAAACGCTACTGTGCCCAGCAATTCCACTCCTAGGTATATACTCAAGAAAACTGAAAACATGTCTACACAAAAATGTGTACATGAGTGTTCATAGCAGCACTATCCATAATAGCCAAAAACTGGAAACAACCTAAATGTCCATCAGCTGATGAATGGATAAACAAAATGTGCCATGGTCACATAATGGAATGTTATTCAGCCAAAAAGGGAATAAAGTACTGATATCTGCTACAACATGGATAAGCCTTGAAAACTTTTGCTAAATGAAAGAAGCCTGACATAAAAGGCCACATATTTTATGGTTCCATAGGCAAATCCATAAGAACAGAAAGTAGATTAATGGTTGTCAGGGCTGGGGAGAGGGAAATGGTGAGTAACTGCTAATGAATATGGGGCTTCTTTTTGAGGTGATGAAATGTTCTGGAATTTGACAGTGGTGATTGCACAACTTTGTGAATGGTACAAAAAATTAGGTATTTAGGATTATTTAAAATGTTTAAAGTGCTATTGTGTTATATCTCTTTGTTTCTTTCCTTTCTTTACTAAGCACAAAGATCCATTATATTGCTATGTACACATCTAATTCGTTGGTTGCAAATATACTTTCTATACCAGTGTTGCTTTCTAAGTCTGCACACACACAAAAAGCCATTTGTTTAAGACTTTAAGGCTCAATGCCACCTGTCACTTATTCCTTAGTATCAGAACCATGCCTTCATTTTACCTGTTGAATACATACTAACAAATATAGACTAAACAGTCTCATAACCTAGTTCCCCAAATCTGCAACCCCACCATAGACCATCTCTTCTGAATGCCAAACCCACATTTTCAACATACCCAAAATTGAACTGCTTGGTGATAGAACTTCAGAGCTAGAGACCAGAAAGATACTCTCACCCAAACCATACCTGTGTGCTTAGCATCAACCCTGCCCTTTCCCCTGTGGTCTCTCTCTCTCAGTGACTAGGTTCTTCACCCTTCCAGTTACCTAAGCTGGACCCTCAGCATCTGGCCATCCCTTCCTGCCCTACCCATATCACCACGTTACACTGTTTTTTTACTCTAAAATATCCCTTGAAATCTGTCCCCTCCCTTCCATTTCCACTTACACTGTCTAGTTTAGCTCTTTAGCACTTCTCACCCAAGGTTCCCCAACCTACAGTTTTTTCTCCTGACACCAAAATTATTTTCTTAAAAAACAGATTGGGGGGCTTCCCTGGTGGCGCAGTGGTTGGGAATCTGCCTGCTAATGCAGGGGACACGGGTTCGAGCCCTGGTCTGGGAGGATCCCACATGCCACGGAGCAACTAGGCCCGTGAGCCACAACTACTGAGCCCGCGCGTTTGGAGCCCGTGCTCCTCAACAAGAAAGGCTGCAATAGTGAGAGGCCCGCGCACCGCGATGAAGAGTGGCCCCCGCTCGCCACAACTAGAGAAAGCCCTTGCACAGAAACAGAGACCCAACACAGCAAAAATAAATTAATTAATTAATGTCAGATGCAGGCTTGTGACATCCTCTGTCACATAGGGGAGGATGTAAGTCAGGCACCCGCAGATAAGCAAAGCTTTCACTTTAAAAAAAAAAAAAAAGATTGGAACTCAGTCACACAATTAACATAGTCACAAAATTCAGAGCTGGGGACCTTCAGAGTTTAATTATTTCACAGATGATGAAACTTAGGCCCATATGACTGCCCTACTCAAAAACCTTTGCTGGTTCCCCACTGTCTACAGATAAAAAAGCCAAATCCCCTAGCATGGCACCCAAGACTCCTTATGATCTAACTTCATCTTATCTTCCCAGCCTTCCCTATTACCACACTTGAAAATCCCATACTGCAACAGGCTATTCATCATTACCTGGACATTCTGGGCTCTTCGCTGTTTTCTGTGCCTTTGTGCATACTGTCACCTCCATGCAGATGGCCTTCCCTCAACCTCCACTATGCAAAAGCCTGCTATCATCCAAGGCCCAGGTAAATACCTTACTTTCCAGGAAGGCAGCATGGAAGGCTCCTATTCAAGCCTTTGCAAATGGGGTTGACCCTGCCAGTTCCCACATTGCTGTGGCTCTCTGTTTAGACCCAAGGTTCTCAACCAGAGGTGATTTTGCACCCCCAGGGGCATCTGGCAATGTCTGCAGACACTTTTAATTGTCAAAACTGGGAGTTTGGGGGAAGTACGGGCATTGCTGCACCTGATAGAGGCCAGGGATGCTGCTAAACATCATATAATGCACAGAACAGTCCTCCACAACAAAGACTTATTCAGCCCCGAATGCCAATAGTGCCAATGATGAGACACCCTGGTTTAGATCAAATTACAACACTGTCATGGTCTGCCTGTTATCACAGGCTGTCTCCACTGATAGATTATAAGCTTTTGGGGGCAGTGTAACATGTCTTATTTCTTGCACATACTAGGTGCTAAAAAATGTTTTATTTCTTTTTCCTCTGTATGATGAAACTTCTCCCTCAAAATACATTTTTACATTCTAGTCAGGTAAGGAATAACAGAAGCACAAGGATGGAATCAGCAGTAAAGGAAAGGGAATAACGTTTAATTAACAAGTATGTAACAAATACTGTACTCCAGGATTTATATTATCATGTTTAATCCTCAGGCAACTCTTCCAGATAAGTAGTATAGCTATAATTGCTAAAATGTATTAAACATTATTACATGCTGGGCAGCTTGCTAAGTGCTTTATACACATGGTATTATTTCATCCTCACAACGTTATGAAGTAGATACTATTATTATTCTCTTTTTACACACGAGGAAACCGAGGCTCAGAGAGGTAACCAACCCAAGACAACACAAGCTAGCAATGATCTGAACCAACATTTGGACCCAGGCCATTTGGTCTAAGTCCAAACATAGTGCCCTTCCTTCTCAAAGACTGGCATTCCTAGCCACTGAATTCCCCCAAAAGGTAAAATACCTGTTGTGGAGAAAGGACAGAAGTTGAGGTAGGAACTTCATAAGCAATTTGGAGAGAGGCTCCTCCCATATCCAGTATCCCTACTGTCCTTCTGCGTCCTGTTGCCAATTCCTGGGGAGCCTCGGCATCTGATTCTGAAATAAATAAGGGAAGAGAAGGGGTCTAGTAATTAAAAGCCAAAATTAAGTTTAAAGGGAAAAAAAAACAGAAATCCCTTAAAAAATTGAAAGCAAACTGAGATAAATTAATCTAACTGTACCAACTACATATTATACAAAGAAGAATTACTTTAAGTGACTTAAAACACGGTATTTTGACTATGTATCTCTTGTAGAATATATCTTAATGACAAAAGAAACAAATAACTTAAACTGCATTCCAGTAGTTTTATTGGTAATACATTATTGGTATTATTATTTTAAACAATTAAACATATATTATGAAATAAAGTTAAATAAATGTTTATGTAAATAGCTTTAGGAACAAATATTCAGCATAAGAGAAAAAGGATTTGATTTTAATATAAAATCAAAAATTTTAATATAAAATCAAAAATTAATCTTATAATCTTAAATATGAATCAGAACTATCACTATGAGATCATGATTTATTTTTCTTTTTTAAAAAATACAATTTCCTAGCTCTGTCCACTGAAAAGGCCTAGAAGCGATGATAATCCAGGAGCAGTGAGCACCGCTGTTGTCTAGACCACAATCTCTAAACATCATTTTCCACTAAAAGAAACAAGGGCTCCTAAAAAAAAATGGCTGATGCTAGGGTCTAAGAGTCGAAAAAATACAAGATGAGCATAGAATACCATCGTATGCCAATATGCCAGGGAAACAGAAAAGACTACCGGGATCATGTTAAAAGGGTACAAGAGCCAACTTAAATGTGCTCCTACCGGCCAATGATGGTAAAATTTGAGCACCAAAAAGAATAATGATGTGATGGACTGCAATGCATCAAATAAATTAAAATCCGCAAGTTCATAAGGATACTGAAAAAAAAATTCACTGGTTACCTTCGGAAGTTGCTAGGACACCAGCTCATTATTCAAAAACTTGATAAATAAAAGCAAGGAATCAAGGGTTCATTCTGTTTTTCCCATAGGAACTGTATTTCAGGATAACCAAATGGCTAATGAAGAAAATTTCATTATATAAAAATCCTAACTGTTAAATGCAGAAAGAATGACAGAATTAGAAAAATCACCATTCTGCAACCTCTAATGAGAAAACAAATCTAAGTAATGATCACAATTGGCTGCTATAACCATTAGGTGAAAAGTGGATGGAAAATTTTTATAACAGATCAGATCAGACTGACAATACCTGAACCCTGAACACCTGTTCAGTCTTAACATGACTAAAAGTAAGACAATCAGATATTACAAAACTCCTGATGTGATACAGCAGGGAACAGCACCACCTATGATTTATTCTTGCCAAAAGAACTGAATCTGAGTCTAATCAAGCTTCTATACCTAACCTCCAGTTTACAGAACAAAAGCGGGGGAGGGGATGAAAAACATGTTAAAGATCCCACAAAGATTCAGTCAACCAAAGCCAGAATGTGGCAAATTCATTCCATCAAGTGACCCAGTTTTGGTTGTTTTTTGGTTGTTGGGTTTTTGCTGTTGTTGTTGTTGTTGAATGATTTGGAAAAAAGCGTTGGGTGGGAAGGTTAACTGTTATAGATTAAAAGAGACCTATTAATCAAATGTAATTTGTGATCTATGTTCAGATTCTGATCTGAACAAGACAACTACAAATAAATATTCTTGATACAATCGGGGAACTCTCTACCTGGGTATGAGATGGTTGTTATCAATACATGATATTAGGAATTGTTAACTTTGTTAAGTATAAAAATGGAACTGAGGGGGAATTCCCTGTCTGTCCAGTGGTTAAGACTCCACGCTTTCACTGCTGAGGGCCCAGGTTCAATCCCTGGTTGGGGAACTAAGATCCCACAAGCTGCGGAACTAAGAGCCCACAAGCTGCATGGCATGGTGCAGCAAAACAATTAAAAAGAAAAAATCAAATAAAAATGGAACTGTGGATATCTTCCTTGGTTTGTTTTGAAACTCCTTATCTATTAGAGGTATTACTGAAGTACATGAAGACAAAGTGATTATGTGTAGTGTTTGTTTTTAAAAATCCAGTAGGGTTACAGCAGAAAATAACACAACATTGTAAAGCAATTATACTCCAATAAAGATATTAAAAAAAAAAAAACCTGTGTTGTATGGAAGGAGTGTGGGAACAAAACAATGGCAGATTGTTAATAACTGTTGAGACTAGGTAATGGGTTCATGGAGGTTCATTTTATTAATTACTCTACTTTTGTGAATGCCTGAAACTTTCCATATTAAAAAGTTAAAAAGAAATAAAAGAAAGCAAATTAGGACTGGGAAATGAAGCATCTTAAGTTTTGAAAAAAGAAAGGAAAAAAAAGAAAGAAAACTCAAAATTAGCACTTACATGCTACTGATAGGTTATGACATAAACCTTCAGCCCTTAGAACTGTCATAAGAAGACAATACTACTCACCATCCTCATGGTCGAATCTTCCCAAAACAAAGTTGATTCCAATCCATGCATAAACCCCTAAGTAAGAAATATAAAAGCCCTTGCTTAATTCTCTACTGCTCTAGCATGTATATGCCTCTCCCAGGGCTGCTCTTTTCCTCCTTTTCTTGGAAAAAAAGTGATAAGAGTATTTTATTCCACACTCTCAGTGTATGAATTTAAAATCTCTTATCTTATGATGTTTTTCCCTTTTAAAATTATTTGCATTTTCTAAATTTCCTACAATGAATAGGAATTAATGTATAAAACTAAATGTTAAAAGATAAAAATCTTGGAGTTCTAGTTCTGGGCAAGCACACTCACCCTGTCTCCCCACTGACTACAAGTATAAACTCTGGATAGAATATATGGAGCAGCTTTCTGAGAACTCTGAAAGTAAATGATAGTGGGCACACTGGGACAGAGATCAGACTTTAAAGTACCACCAAAACCACAGTGAGCTTCCCATTTTTCCTCCTCAGATACTGCCTGGCCTGGACTCAAAATCAGCTTGAAATACAAAAGTACACATCAGATGTGGACAGAAAGAACTTCAAGACCTTGCTTTGTGGGCCAAGGATCAGAAAAGGGGACTCCAAAGGTTCAGAAAGAATGGCGAGAAATTCCTTGTTTTTTAAAAAATTCTGTTCTCTCCTACCCCAGGCAATCCTGCAACAGCAGCGGTAGAGACTGGGTAGATGCCTAAACCTCTGAGGGATGTGAATCCTTCTTTCTGACCAGAGGAGCTACAGCCTCAAGAGCTGGGGCAAATCCCTATTGCTTTTTTTTTCTCCCTCTGTCCTCTACCACTTAGCCTTGGATATAGATGCAGTCACGGGAAATGCATGGCAGAGTGGGCAAATTAAATCCCTGGCTTTCTGACCTAAGGACCATGAAAGTGAACCTCAGGGAACCAGAAAGTATTGGGAAGACTGTGGAGAGTGGGGAATAAACTGGTGTAGGAACTCCTGGGCTCACATGCATGATCTGACTCTAAACAACATATCAAAGCTTTTGAGGACTGACATATTGGCTAGTCAACACATTTGTATGGGCTGTGCCCAGGTTCAGACTGGTCACTGGCTGGCACACACATGGGACAAATCCAAATAGCCGTGCCAAAGCTTTGAAAAATGAATCAGCAGAATCACAGCCCACAGAAGCCAGGTCAGAACTTAAGGCTTGAACCTAACCAGTCTGCTAAGACAAAAATTAACATTCTCTTTATGATTGAAACAAGACCCAGGGTCTAACAATGTAATATTCAAAATATCCAGGATACAATATAAAATGACTTGTCATACAAAGAACTAGGAAAATCTCAACCTTTCCAATCTCAAGGGAAAAGATGCCAACCCTGAGATGACACAGGTGTTGGAATTATCAAATAAAGCAGCTATACAGCCAGGAAATAAGAGCAGTCTTCCAATGAATGGAAAGATAGAAAGTCTCAGCAAAGAAATGGAGTAAAACCAAACGGGAATTTTAGGACTGAAAAAGGCAATACTGAGATTGAAAAAGGTGAATCTTTTTCTTTATGTGAACTGCAACTAGAAGACAAAAGATTTTCTGTTTTTCAAGAAATGGACACATAATTCATCATACACATTTGGGCTACATGAGAACATGCATTCAACTCCACCCCAAAACTACAAACCCCAAGTGCAAGCTTTTACTCCTCAAGGCCCAATACCTTCCTGTTTCCCAGAGATCACTTCTGCCTGAGAATGAGAAAAGAGGAAGTCAAACTCCAGAGGTAAATCTTTCACTAGATCAGCCAAGATAGCCAACTGCTTCCTGCAAGAAAGAACAAAAAACCTGAGTTAATGGTTAAACTCTCTTCTCACAAACAACCTCAACTTGACCTCCTACTTAGCCTTGTTAGACCTCACTGTACACCTACCCAAGACACTTGATCCCTGCTTCTGTTTGGTACCTGCTTCGAGATTTCAAAGGTTTAAAATTACTCAAAAGTATAGCCTCCTCAGGGCAGGAATAAAGACATAGACATAGAGAATGGACTTGTGGACACAGGGCAGGCGGTGGGGGTGAAGCTGGGGCAAAGTGAGAGTAGCATCAACATATATACACTACCGAATGTAAAATAGTTAGCTAGTGGGAAGCAGCAGCATAGCACAGGGAGATCAGCTCAGTGCTTTGCGATGACCTAGAGGGGTGGGATAGGGAGGGTGGGAGGGAGATGCAAGAGGGAGGAGATATGGGGATATATGCATGCATATGGCTGATTCACTTTGTTGTATAACAGAAACTAACACAGTCTTATGAAGCAATTATACTCCAATCAAGATCTATTAAAAAAAAAAGTATAGCCTCCTTCTTAAAAGGCAATATGGTAACAGTAATACTTATCCTTTATACAATGCTACAATTCAAATAGTATTAAAAGATGAGACTATGGTTCTATGCCTCTCACAGGCTAAGTATGGATAAACTACAGGAAACTGAAACACAGTTTCATAATCTATAAAACAGATATAATTACGTTATTCCTAACGACTATGAAAGGAGGCTGTTAAATTGAGGAACACAATCTCATCCTTAGATCTCACACAATACAGAAAAAGTGTCTCACATCACCACATAAGAAGCACTGTTTGGTCGACAAATTTTTACATGATCCTTTACATTAACAATGAACTTTTAAACCTCCTTTTCCATATTTCAAGGGTTGATTTTTTTTTTCTTTATAAAAATCTTATCATTTGGAAAACCCAGATCAGGATCAAAATCCAAAGGTCATAATCTGGGGATGACGCTTGAAGCTTAGTATCTACAGCGCTGTTTTGTCCTCTAAAGTTTTATGTTATTAGTATTATCAGATAAAAACAAGCAAAGAAACAAAGCTAGAAGTAATCATATAAATCTAGAGACAATGCTGGTTAAAAATAAGAGCAATTATCTTGGATTTTTAAAATTACTCATTACAAAAATATTCTGCTGGCTATCCTGGTTGTCAGCATGACTTGGTGAAGAATGTTATTAGCACTTGAAAGTGAAAATTACATTTAAAGTAATAATCTTCCAATATATAACGTCATTGTTATATACAAGAAATTTTTATGATAAAAATTTCATATGGGGAACTAGAGGTGCTATTTTGCCCTCCTTATTGGATATGGTTCTAAACTACCCAAAGAAGAGGGCTTGCTGGTTTTGGTGATGACATGGAAGAATGGGTACCAACACACACTGCTGTTTGGTATATAAATTACTGGTACAACCTTTCTACAGGGCAATCTGGGACTAGGTATCAAAGTTTTTAATGTGCTTAACCTTTGACCCACCAACTACATTTTAAGACATTTACTGCAATGAAATCATCAGATAAGAATACAGAGAGAAAAAATACTACAGCATTATTTATAACAATGAAAAACTGGAAATAACCTAAATGCACGTATATCAGTAGTGACTGGCTAAATAATTTATGGGATAGTCATGCAATGTAATAGTACACAGATGTTAAAAGAAATGAGGTCAATTTATATCTACATGTATTGACATGAAAAGATGTCCAATATATTTTGAGTTCCAACAGGTTACAAAACAGTACATATAATATGATCCCAGTTTATATTAATAAACAAAACACTCTTCATGTATTACACAGGATAGGACAGAACTTTCATTTTCTAAAATTCAATAATGTTTCTTTATTAAAAAAAGCATTTTATGGCAAAACATTGACAATTGTTGAAGCTGGGTGGCAAGTAAATGCGGATTCATTACATCATTCTCTCTACTTCTATATACACTTGAAATTTCCCAAAATAAAGTTTTTTTTCTTAAAGTATCACTTCATAATTCTTTAAAGGTATTTCCATTACAAACTAAAAAGGCAGTGGAACAAATTCTGTTAGTCTAGGCCTTCGGCAAAAAAATAAAACCTAGTGCTAATAAATCTAAAATACAGTCCAGGGGATTCAAACCCATTTTGAATATTGCTCACAAATGCTAATAAATTAACAAAGCATTAATTATACAAAACAGGTTCTTGCAGTGATTGTTACACTTACGTCAACAACTATAGCAACCTTAGAGGTAGCAATGATTTCATAAGCCCAGGGTAGATCTAGGCATTATTAAAAGAGGTGATCAAAAAACAATAGGGCTTCCACAAAACACTCTTCATGTATTACACAGGATAGGACAGAACTTTCATTTTCTAAAATTCAATAATGTTTCTTTATTAAAAAAAGCATTTTATGGCAAAACATTGACAATTGTTGAAGCTGGGTGGCAAGTAAATGCGGATTCATTACATCATTCTCTCTACTTCTATATACACTTGAAATTTCCCAAAATAAAGTTTTTTTTCTTAAAGTATCACTTCATAATTCTTTAAAGGTATTTCCATTACAAACTAAAAAGGCAGTGGAACAAATTCTGTTAGTCTAGGCCTTCGGCAAAAAAATAAAACCTAGTGCTAATAAATCTAAAATACAGTCCAGGGGATTCAAACCCATTTTGAATATTGCTCACAAATGCTAATAAATTAACAAAGCATTAATTATACAAAACAGGTTCTTGCAGTGATTGTTACACTTACGTCAACAACTATAGCAACCTTAGAGGTAGCAATGATTTCATAAGCCCAGGGTAGATCTAGGCATTATTAAAAGAGGTGATCAAAAAACAAGTTAGGGCTTCCCTGGTGGCGCAGTGGTTGAGAGTCTGCCTGCCGATGCAGGGGACATGGGTTCGTGCCCCGGTCCGGGAAGATCCCACATGCTGCGGAGCGGCTGGGCCCGTGAGCCATGGCCGCTGAGCCTGCGCGTCCGGAGCCTGTACTCCGCAACGGGAGAGGCCACAGCAGTGAGAGGCCCGCGTACCGCAAAAAAAAAAAAAGTTAAAGGCAAGTTCTTTAAAAATTCTTAAGATAAAATAAATACTAATATTCAGAGCTTCCATGATGACAGGGAACATCTTAGACAAATGGGGTGGAGCTACATAGTTGATTTTGTTTAAATAGAAACTTCTTTGACAAACAGAGGAAAGGCTGGGCAGTGCCAGGAGATGAGGCAATCCTCTCCTTTGCTCCAGACACACAAAATGTGGCCATTTCATTACCCTGCTGGTTGGCTCTGCCTTTTTGACCTCCGAGTCAGCTTTTTCTCTGGCCTTCCACCCTCCTTCCTTGTTTGTGAGACCTTAGTCCATTCACAGCCCTGCGATGTGGCACCACCTATGTCATCCATACTCTTCACATGGTTTCTAAAATTTTGAATGATGTATTACTTATGTCAAAAACAAAAATTCTAAATTTCACGTGTAGTATGGTTACAATTTTGTAGAAGTTACACATAGATATACAGAAAAAAAGGAATAGGACAAAATGAAACAGTTTTGATAGGATAGTAGAATTATAACTTCTTTGTTTTGATTTTAAGATTTCCTTTAATGATGTAAGGTTCTAGCAATAACATTTTAAACTTTAGTTTTAAAAATAAGTAAAAACAAACCAAAAAAAAAATTTAAAGACCAAGAGGTATGGGAAAACAAGGAGCTAGAAGGCCTTTCAGATTGACAAATGGCTACATAAAATAATCTGCTTCTCAACAGTAAACCAGTAACTGTGTCTGAGCAGAAGGAAAGTAGTCAACTGGAAGAAGTGCTGACATACATGTCTGGCACAAGCAGAATGGAGCCCTACACACATGGCAGAGGTTTTCATTGCTGTTGGCCAAGTATATGAAATGAAACTTTGTGGAAAAGGGAACTGCTATTTATCAAGGAAAAACATTTAAGCTAATAAAAAATACCCGATGACTATGAGACTGTGAACATTGCAGAAGGATGGGTGCTCAAGTTAAGGGAGCTCATTCCTACCTCAAGACCATAATAAGTATGGAGGGGTCAGGGAGGTGTCAAAAGGGAGAAATCACAAACAAGGAGGGGTCTGACCTAAGCATAGCTGCTGCCTCTTCGTCTTCCTCCTCTTTCAGTGAAGGAAAAAGGGTCAGGTGGCAAAAAGCCAGGCTCAACTGCCAAGGTCAAGTAGAAAAGACTTAACCAGCAGGGGTTGAAAAAAGTGATCTAAAGCAATGGAGACTAAGCTTTGCAAGTAGCACCAACTATCATCAGGGAGCCAGGCAAAGTTATAGAGAAAACCCCATTCCTACCAGAGCCCTCCTACTAGACCCCAGGTACCCAGTCCCTCAGGTGACCCTCCTACTACCCTTCTGAAATTATGCTCCCCTTCTAGGTGCCTCATGATCCAAATTTATTACATCACCACTGCTCCCAACCCTCAATCAAAACTAAGGATCATTACAGCCATCTCAAATAGATATTGATCCCAAAGAAGCAAACGACATGGAGGTGTGATCAACTGATTGTGAAATAACGGGGTGTAGGAGTGGCTCTGCTCTGTTTTGAGCAAGAAGTCTTTTAGTGCCACCTGTCAATTCTGTGTGCTGTACCCACATCCTGCCTTCAGATCAGGGAACCACAGAGAATAATGTATGAAACTGCTCTTTCAACTCTTGGGCCACTCACTCTCCTGCATCTCACCTCTCGGAGAGAAGCCTCATGCCTGCTGTGCATAGGATGTAAAGGGGGGTCTCCTTGTGCTTCCTCACAGGCACATGAGCAGCAGCAAAGCTCAGCAGAGGACGAAGGTAATCGCTGGCATGTTCTGGAGTGTCTGCCATTGCAGAGATTCCTTAAGTAAGATAAAATACTTTCTTTAAAGAGCAGATCACATAGACTCAGAAGACTGATACCCCATAAGGTTCTGTTTAAGGTTCTAAACATTTATTCCATAAGAGTAGGGTTGCAATGAATCCTTCCCATTATCCAGAACCTCCAGAAGAAAAGGGTAGCTTTCTTTCTCCCTCTTCTCTCCTGTCCTCTCATTTCTGTAGCAGATAAAAGAGACTGACAATGAAATATATTCCATTTAGTACCTGGCTTGATTTTTTTAACCACTGGTTGGCTGTTACGGTCTCTCATCTGTTTGATGTCCAACAAGTCATGAGGATTCCCATTATGTCTTGGCCAGAAATAAACAAAAATCCGAGAGCCACTGCTGCCACAGTCCACAACAAGTCCATAATTTAGATTTGGGTCTTCAGTGTCAGTAGCTTCAAGATCTCCTACTCGAGCCAAATACCTAAGCCGGGCAAAAAGAGAAACTAGTGTTAAGCAAATAGCACCATCACTTAATTCATCTGTTCGTGAGTCTTCATTAAGTGCCTACATGTGCCAGGCACATGGGACTACACATCCTAACAAAGGAATGAAACAATATTGACCATATTTACTGATGTATATGAGGCAACAGCTGGTTTATACTGAAATGAGGTAACCAAAAGACTCCCCTAAGTTTGGGGGTAGTTCTGAAACTGGCCAGGGTAGCAAATCTTTTACTAAGCATTAAAGGGCTTCTAGGCCTCAGTAAATACTGAGCCACTAAATTTGAGGGTGGTTTGCTATGCGCACTAGATAGCTAAAGCAATTCTAATAATTTCTTCTCTATTTATCTATCCTTTCTGTATATAAACACGAAGAACATGGCGGAATGATATCTGGCTGACAGCAGGAAGACGGAACAAGTAAAGATGTTACCACCAAAACCCCACGGTTTGAGTCTCAGCTCTAGCACTTTCTATGTTTTGTGACCTTCCTGAAATTACTTCTCTCAAGCTGTTCCCGCATCTGTGAAATGAGGGTAGTTAGGAGTCTCTACTCTCAGAGAGGCAAAAATCTATGTTGAGCAGTTAGCACAGTGCTGCGCTTGTTACATAACTATTGGGAGAACAAACAGCAGAAGACTCTCTGGAGAAAAGGGCTGAAATATCCAGAAAGAAAAGAAGACTAAAAGCTGGTAAAACCCTTCTTCTGAGTGATGAGGCTTTAATAAATATTAAAGTTTCCTCAGAGTGTACAGGTCTGAAAAGTACAAACGTCACTGATGACTCCTCTTCAAAGGCTTCACCTGAAGAGGAGCCCGGTGAGAATGAGAATGGCTTTTAGCTTATTACTCAAAAAAGGAGAGCTCTTTCTTTTCTTTTCTTTTTTTTTTTTTTTTTGCAGTACGTGGGCCTTTCACTGTTGTGGCTTCTCCCATTGCGGAGCACAGGCTCCGGACGCGCAGGCTCAGCGGCCATGGCTCATGGGCCCAGCCGCTCCGCGGCATGTGGGATCTTCCCAGACCGGGGCACGAACCCGTGTCCCCTGCATCGGCAGGCGGACTCCCAACCACTGCGCCACCAGGGAAGCCCGGAGAGCTCTTTCTTGATGCTAATATATAATGCATGGTAGGCAGACTAAAATTTTGCCTTCTAGATTCTTTTAAATTTGAATAAATATTACCATAGGTTGAGCTAATAATTGAATGAATATTCTGAAAGTAATGTTGTGAATTTTTTCAAGTAATACACCTAAACTCCCTTCTGCCCTATCATCCAACATTGTCTTTAGAGGTAACGCCCAGATCCCCAAGACCCTTACACAGAACCCTTTGTGAAGACTGAAACTAATATAATGGGGGAGGAAGGTTCTTTTACACAAAATATTCAACATTACAAATACAAAAAGGGGCCCACGTAAGTGAGGGGACTTGAATTGCAGGTAACATTCCCTTCACAGTAAATCCAGAAAAGTAAGCCATGTGTCATACCTCTCAGAACAATCTAGCCTGTGTTTACTGGTGATTTCACATTGCTACACAGACTACAGAGTTCCTTACTTTGTACAGAAAAGCAAACTTGATGAAAAGAAGACCATGTAGAAACAGTTCTGAAATCAAAAAAGTAGAGTTGAGTACCTTTCCTATTCTATAACACAAAATGCATTATTTTAAAAAGAGGAGAACATATATCTGAGCTTCAATGCAATGCTGTAAATTATTGCATAGGATAGGGTCAGGGAGAACTTTTTTCTGGATCTGATACGAGGGTGAGTTGTGGGAAGTGAAGCAGATGGTAAAAGTCTGTTACACACTAGAAAGTTTACAGTCCTAAAGATTCCATTCCACCACAGACTTTCCCATTCTACTCAAATGATTGGGCTGAAATGGGCTCACAATCCACCAATCAACTCATAACAGCTCACTTCTACCACAGGAAAGCTGGGCAGACATCTGTGTGCCACAGATAGAAAAGAAAAAGGCAAGATAATCCATCTCCAGCCCAAAGTGACTCTTCATTTCTCATCAGCAATCTGCCTACTTCACAGATCTTTATCTGCTTTCCTTCTCTGAAAACCACCCCTTCTACTTCTCTTTGACAAGATTCTGGATCTTGTCCCCTCCTGCTTAATGAATAACTTTTTCCAGTACATTGGTTCTCAAAATTTTGGGGCTCAGGACCCCTCTATAGCCTTAAAAAAATTACTGGACCCCAAAGAGCTTTTGTGGTACATCTATCTATATTTACCATGTTAGAAAATAAAACAGAACATTTAAAAATACTTATTTATTTATTTAGACACAATAGCAAACTCATTACATATTAACATATTTTATGAAAAACAACTATTTTCTAAAACAAAAAAGTTAGGAGAGTGGCATTGTTTTAGAGTTCTGCAAATCTCTTTAGTGTCTGGATTAACAGAAGATAACTAGATTCTCATATTTGCTTCTGTATTCAATCTGTTACGATAAGTTGTTTTGATTGAAGTATATGAAGAAAATCAAGCTTCACCCAGGTATGTTGTTGGAAAAGGGAAGAGTACTTTTTAGATCCTTGGTACTACACTGAAACTTGACAAGTGGAGTTTCTTAAAGGTTGGTTGCAATGTGGAATCTAAACTCTAAGAACTTTTCATACTGTTATATTAAAATGCACTGGTCTATCTTTCACTTTAAATTGCTTTTACCCATGCGTAATGTTGTCACATCATATACTGGAAAATACTGGTTCACTGAGCTATGCAAATCTTCTTAATGTTGACACATTTCATTCTACCAAAAAACCACACACATTCATGAATATCACTACCAATTTTATCAAAAAAGTCTTTTAAGTATTGGGAAGCTATCAAACTCAAAGTGGCAGATACAAACTTCCCAAACTTCTAATTTTCACTTAAAAGCTCAAATTTTATCACTGGCAATAAATATTGACAGTTATTTTCCTTAAAGTGACAGGCTTTTACTTCATTCATTTTCAAGAAAATGTCTATGAAACACCCACATCTGAAATCTACAGTTTTTCTGACAGTTATTCTTTCAAGTGAAAAATAGTATTCCATGACTGTGTTCAGCTCATAACTCAAACAACTGCCTAAGTGCTTTTCCTTGAGACAACCTGAGTATGCAACAGAAGTGCTTAATTCCTATTTCCCATTTTGTCACACAGAATATTAAAAAGACATTCTTAAGTGGAATTAGACTTTTCTTCCCACTGCAACTGTGTGACAATGAAGACTACCATAACTACTAGTATAATTTGGTGCTCTATCTTGATTTGTGCTAAGGCACCAGCAGTTTTACCCACCATCGCTTTTGCATCATCAGTGTAAATGTCAACTCAGTGAAAAAGGCAAATAGTATCACCATAGCCAAAAGGTAGAAGCAACTCAGATGTCCATGACAGATGAATGGATAAACAAAATGTGGTATATACATACAATGGAATATGATTCAGCCTTAAAAAAAAAGAAGGAAATCCTGCCATACACTACAACATGGGTGAACCTTGAGGACATTATGCTAAGTGAAATAAGCCAGTCACAAAAGACAAATACTAGATAATTCCACTTATATGAAGTATGTAAAGTAAGCAAATTCAAAGAAACAGAAAATGGAATAGTGGTTACCAGGGGCTGGGGATAGGGAAAAATTAGGGGTTGTTGTCTAGTGGGTATAGAGTTTCAGATTTGCAAGATGAAAAAGTTCTAGAGATTGGCTGCATAGTATGTGAATATACTTAACAGTACTGAACTATACACTTAAAAATGGTTAAGATGGGTAAATTGTGTTATGCGTTTTTAAACACAATTTTTTAAAAGGGCAAACAACATCTTAGTATTATCATCAAAATAGTTTTGGCCTCACAGACTCCCTGAAATGGTCTCAGAGACTCCCAAGCGTCAGTAAGCACTTTGAGAACTACTACTCTAACGCGACCTTTTTTCTAACATCCGTTTGCTTCTCTACCTATTCCTCCCCCTTTCCCTTCTTTGATATGGCTTCCCAGTTCTCAAGAAGCCTCCCCTCAACAAGCTGATTCTTGTAATGATCTAAAAAAGGCCTCCTCCTTCTGTTCTAACATGTGGAGTGTCATTATTCTCTTTAAGCAGTTTGCTTACATTTCAGTATGAGCCCGAAGACTTCTTTCACATTTGTTTGCTCCACCTCTCCATTTAGACTCTCAGCTTCTCAAGAGTAATTACCTTATTTGCATACCTCAATACAGGCACAATGTTCCTCACATTTCTCTGATACGTATCAATCAATACTGATTGGCTTGGGCCTAGAGCTCACAATATGAAGCTGCTAGTTTGTTAATAATTCATCTATGTCTTTGTATAGCTATATTCAAAATCAGTTGGTCTCCTTAGAAAATTTCAATGGCTTTCCAAAGCATCCTGTCATCCTCTTTGGTTCCTGTCAAGATAAGCAACTTTACAGCTCTCATTTGGGTACAACTCAACTTTGCTTTCTCTTCCCTTAGAAGTCACCATGTGTGCATTGGCAGAAAAACGTCAGCTGACACTACAATACAAGGGAGAAAGACAAGACCAGATGACATTTAAGTTACATTTCCCACTTGAATCCTTGCTCAGTTGCTTCAGGCTGCAGAAAGTTCTGTAATTCTGACCTCTTATGACCTAATCAGGCTTCTTACACTTTTCAACCACCTGAAGGTCTAGGCTCCTAACGCGGATGGATCACTGGTCCTTTCTCGGATATTTTCATTTCTGATTTGCAGCCCCAGCCTTAGCCATCATGGTTAATTACTGGCATTGCTGATCCTTCTGCTTTGCTGATACTGCACTAAGTCAACCCCTAAAGAAGACCTAAAGCCCAATAGAAAAAGTTCCAAAAGCTTTGGATCCCTCACATCCACTGTCCCAGGAGAGATCTGCTTCACCATCACATGCACTTACCCCCGCCTCACACACATATATCCTCTCTATTTGAGAAACATGATTTCCCTCTGGTCA